ACACACATGTAACATGCAGGTTACATATTGAACACGTGTAACATGCAGGTTACATCTAGAACACACATGTAACATGCAGGTTACATCTAGAACACATATATAACATGCAGGTTACATGTTGAACACATATATAACAAGCAGGTTACATGTTGAACACGTGTAACATGCAGGTTACATATTGAACACACATGTAACATGCAGGTTACATATTGAACACATATAACAAGAAGGTTACATATTGAACACACATGTGACATGCAGGTTACATCTAGAACACATGTAACATGCAGGTTACATCTAGAACACATATAACATGCAGGTTACATCTTGAACACATATAACAAGCAGGTTACATATTGAACACACATGTAACATGCAGGTTACATCTAGAACACATGTAACATGCAGGTTACATCTAGAACACATATAACATGCAGGTTACATCTAGAACACATATAACAAGCAGGTTACATATTGAACACACATGTGACATGCAGGTTACATCTAGAACACATGTAACATGCAGGTTACATATTGAACACGTGTAACATGCAGGTTACATATTGAACACGTGTAACATGCAGGTTACATATTGAACACACATGTAACATGCAGGTTACATATTAAACACACATGTAACATGCAGGTTACATATTAAACACACATGTAACATGCAGGTTACATATTGAACACACATGTAACATGCAGGTTACATATTGAACACACATGTAACATGCAGGTTACATATTAAACACACATGTAACATGCAGGTTACATATTGAACACGTGTAACATGCAGGTTACATCTAGAACACACATGTAACATGCAGGTTACATCTAGAACACATATATAACATGCAGGTTACATGTTGAACACATATATAACAAGCAGGTTACATGTTGAACACGTGTAACATGCAGGTTACCTCTAGAACACATATATAACAAGCAGGTTACCTCTAGAACACATATATAACAAGCAGGTTACATGTTGAACACATATATAACAAGCAGGTTACATGTTGAACACGTGTAACATGCAGGTTACCTCTAGAACACATATATAACATGCAGGTTACATGTTGAACACGTGTAACAAGCAGGTTACATCTAGAACACACATATAACATGCAGGTTACATCTGGAACATATATAACAGGCGGGTTACATATTGAATACACATATAACATGACATAATTTTCAATTAAAAAATATAACTGCCATCTGTTTTAATTCAAATTAAATATATTTGCAATATGCTTTGTTCCCGAAATATTCTGCTCACAACCTTAATATTTGTTCAGTTTTATTCATAGTAAAGACAAGATATGTCATGGATGACAACTTCTATTAAATATCTTGTCTATACTGTTACTTGCCATCTTCTAAAAATGCCAATGAAACAGTTCAATCTTGTTCACTAAGAACCTTAGACTCGGGATTTTCTATTGTAAGTGTGACTACGTGCAGGTGTTCGGCTCGGCATGCTCTGACATGCGTGCTGGTTAATGGACAACGTCAATAAACCCAGTGCTCAAGGTTTGTAACGCTCGTATGTAACATGTATGAAGTAAACAAGTTCTTTTGGGTGTGTTTGTGTCACGAGTTGGTCGTAGTAGATTTTGATCGAAGGTGTATAAGACCTAGTTTTGCAGAATAGGTCTGCATAATTAAGGAAATGGGCACAACTTTCGGAAATCGTTTTAAATATATGAGATGTGTTCATGAATGTGCACGTTTCCAATGCGTGCATGTTTGGGACTCACCGCAACTCCATAGGTAGAAGTAAGGCTAAAATGTGGCTAAAGAGCTGATTTCAGAGGTTTCCTTGAAACAGTTTTCTACTATTTGAACGAAAGCCATTATTATACAACCATTGCTTTTCCTGGCGCAAAAAAAAACGGTTTGAAGTTCCAAATACCTGGTCCCATGATGACTAAACCCACATAATGGGTAGGTTTCTCGGCAGGATAAATCAGGATTAAAACGATATCCGTTGGGGTCATATGCGGATAGAGATGCAAATATCAAAGGTCAAGTAGGGACTACTTTCAGCGTTTACAAACATGGCGTCACCCTTGTCATTCTGCGATCGAGTTAGAATTAACCATCGGGAATCAGGAGAAACTACTACTACATTATCAAAAGAATAATCTACCATAAATTGTTTGATAGGCATTACTTAGAAGTTGACATGAGGATCTATACCGAAACGTCGCCTTTACAGTATTAAAGAAGTTGTCATCCATAAATTGTGTCTACCTTGTCAATAGTCTACTATAGTCAACACCAGTGTCTTACTGTGACGTAGCTATGGCACTTTACATTCTTTATAATATTAAACATGTGCAGGTGTTCGGCACGGTACGTTTTGACATGTGTTCGGGTTAATTGACAACGTCATGACCCTTCCGAGCTCAATATTTTTAACGCTTGTCAGAAGCGAAGCGAACTTTACGTCTTGCAATAATATGTATGAAGTAAACAAGTTGGTTTTTTTGTATGTGTTTGTGTCACGTGTTGGTTGCAGTTTGATCGAAGGTGTATCAGACTTAGTTTGGCAGAATAGGTCTGCATAATTCAAGAAACGGGGAAAGCTTTCGGAAATTGTTGTTAAATATATATTAAAAAGGTTGATAGTTTGTATATGCCTTTCTTTTTGGTTTACCACATACTAAAACAAATATAGCCTTTTTATTCGGCCTAAATATATTTTTATGGCCCCGAGATAAAAAAAAACAAACCCACCAACAACTTACAAACGTTATTAAAACGTTACTAGACTGAAAACAGTCGGCGAAACACTGCAAACTTAAGGTTCAAAACACGACTATTATTACCTGTATAAATTACATCACCATCTAATTACCATCGTTTATTGAAATTTAGCCACTCTCAAACATGGACGTATACTTTCTTTGGCCCGGCATTTTAGTTTGAATTAAACAAGTGTATGATTCCCTCATCCGTTAAAGGATAATTTAATACGAAAAGGAGGCGTGTAACCCGATCTTTATGGAAATTTCTCACGCGCGATATTGCAAGTGCCCGGATTAAAAACTCGGCGATGCCATATTTACTGTTCAGTTCGCTGTTTAGTGTTGATATTACACATTCATACACGGATATACACGGATCAAGGTGGCTATTCCGTTCTGTGAAACGCCTGGTAAAGCCCTTTGGAGATATGCATCATTGTCCACTGTTCTCACTTTAACGGAGTCACGGGTGACCCAGGGGTCGTAGGTAAGGTAATGCTATGATCATTTACCTTCCTTAGTTGTGTCAGGATCTGCTTATCGTAGTGTCGAAACCAGCGTTCGCTCTGATTACGAGTCTTGGTTGACTGGATTCGTTCGTACATAGCTTCAATGTCACAGACTTGGTCTTTAACAGCTGCGCACTGTACTACATTTCCACGTCTAATGATCCCCAATACAAAGGAACCAGTAGATGTCGAAAAGCTGGGCAGTACATGGCTACGATTTTACATCTAGATCTGTATGTACCATGCCCGTGTCACTGACATATTGGACGTTCTACCAACACCAAGTTGACATGGTATTATATCACTTTAATGGAGCCATGTAAAACTCTTTTCTTCAAGACGCGACTGTCTATAGGTCGACGTCGTATGGCGTGAGTTCTGCTGTGTGGCCTCTGGCGACAAACACTTCCTTTTGTATGCAAATTGTGGGAGTGTAGGGCAAGGGCGGTTCCAACATTTTTTAAAGGGAGGGGTCCAAAATATCGAAATCCTGTCTCGTCATGACTAGAACATACAACATTTGGTTGGGGGTGGTCACATGCAAGAATCAAATGTAATGATTGGTAAATCTATGTCTATCTCCATATTGGACATTAACTTAGGGAGTCACTAGTCCTGACTAGATGCTGGTTACTAAACCAATTAAAGCCAATTTGTCTTTCACGGAAATACATTGTCAGGGGTCTCGTGACAACTTCAATGAAGCTAATAATCTGAGTTTATTTAATTTGGTTATTTAACTTACTAAAATGACATTATACAGACACTGAAGAGCATATACACGGCCCCACCACAGCTTTGCTTGGGTAGACTTTAGAAAAACCAATCTTTCCTGGCTCAGCCCGGTACAGCTATTCCAGCTGTCTTTGGCTGATCGGACAAGCAACTGGACTGTTGATTGTATGAATGCTTCAAGCAATAACCACCTTGTGCACAGTCACATTGGCACCACAAGCTAACGGCGCAGTGCCACATTTATGCATATTTGTTAAGTGCGGTGATAAATTGATTTTGAATAATATTAGAAACATGTTGTTTCAGTGTGAATATTCAATTCAAGTGTTTATTGTATGAAAGGCCATAGATATGAAGTGCATACTATACATGAGCATTTCACAAATAGATTCACATTTCTTTTCATTCACATTTCTGCTCTTTAAGCCATATTTGAAATTATAACATTGCATATTTTAAATCTTGATAATTTGTGGTTGCCTTAAGGCGATTAAATTGTTGGATTAAAGGACGAATTACATATTTAATTTGTATACATTGCTTTTGATTGTTTTTTAAGGATGGAGTATAAAGGTGAAATGATACCGATCTCTGACTTTGTTTAGGTTACAGTATGTACATAATCGTACAGGTGTATTTAATGGACTTTTGTCCATATAGGTCATGGCCAGTATCTACTGATTCTCTTACATTGAGTGTATTATTTTTGTTATCAATGCTCTATTATGAAGACAGCTTTATTATTGTGATGTGATGATCATCTTCTTATGATGGACATGCTGCAGTGTCGTACTTGCTATGATTCAGAAATTACCCATTAATTTGATCTGATCTTGTAAACAACTTTGTGGTGCTACTTTTGATCAAACTGTTGCGAAAGTATACAACAGCCTGACAAATATAAACAAAAGCAGTGTATGACTATAATCTTGAAAATAATAATCATCTGCATTTTCTTATTTTATGACTATTGATCAATTCATGTTTTTTCTTTCAGGAAATTGGAGTTGAAGATGTTTCGTTTGTGGCCGAAAGGTAGGTGTTGATACATTTGTAGACCAACAGCTAGTCTCTGAAATGAAAGTATTTTAGAGAAAAACAACAGTTGGTAAATTATCCTAATAAAATATAATGAAAAGGAGCCTGATTTCGCAGTCATCTAGACTTGCCAAATATTATAAACTTGCATGTGTTCTATTGGATATATTTGTTTCATGGTCTTTATGACAGACTAATGTGCTGTTTTAAATATGGACACTTACTCGCATGATAACCTCTATTTGTTTGTTTGTTTGATTGTTGCTTAACGCCGCACTCGGCAATATTCCCGCTACATGATGTCGGTCTGTAAATAATCAAGCCTGGACCGGACAAATGAGTGATTGATATCATAAGCATCGATCCACACAATTGAGATACGATGACATGCATCAACCAAGTCAGTGAGTGTGACCACCCGATCCTGTTAGTTGCCCCTTACGACAACGGTTGCTGAAGACCTATTCTAACCCCGATCTTCACGGGTCACCTCTATGTGTTATGTATTATTGAAGTATATAAGGTATGTATGGGTATATACATGTGTGTTGTTAAGCATGGAGTTATTGATATATGTGCTGTGTAAGTGTTGACATGAGTTCTACAAGAGTGATCATGTAGTGTGTAAAATGGATGTATGTGTTGTGGAAGTTTGGCAATATGTTTTGTGCAAGAATGGTTTCTTTAGATGAAACAATATAACAAAGGCAGTAAACTACGGTTATAACGAACTCAAAGGGACCACTAATTTTAGTTCGTAATAACCGTAGTTCGTTATAAGTATATATACAGCATCGTATATACAACAAATGACAGGGACTGAAAAATAGGTTCGTTATATCGGTCAGTTCATTATAAGCATGTTCGTTATAAGCATAGTATCACGAAAGAAAATGCTTCCAAATCAATAAAACACAAGGGCGGATCAAGCATTTTTAAAAGGGAAGGGTCCTAAATATCAAAATCCTCCCTTAGTCAATTTTACATGTACAACATACGTTTAGGTTCCCCCCCCCCCCTCGCACACACACACCCTTAGGATCCATCTATGAGATAGGATTACCTTGAATAACATTTTAGTGTGGTCATGTCGGCCGAATACGGTCATTTCCTACCAAACTTAAATTCCCTCTCCCCTAACGGTTAGCTCTCTCAATTGTGTTGACCACAACTGATGATGAGAAATTATGAAACTACTTTCCCCACTCACTCTTGTTGATGGATGTCTGTCTCTCATGCATGGCGGACATCAACCAAATTCCACTTGGATATAAGAGGATATGGACAGATTATTTATCCTGTGTTGACGGTACGGATCGACTGTTGTGTAACTCGCCAGTTTGTTCATTTGATGAACCTCACCAGGAAGAATATATCAGGAAATACTCGTCAAGTTCATGTACAAGGAACAAATGAGAGTGGGATATTTGTGTGGAAACTAATTTCTTGAATGTGCAAAAGCATGTGAAACATAGACTATTCATGTGATCCTGTGAAAGAATAAAGAGATGGATAGACCCAGTATATCAAAGGAGTCTGTCAGCCAAGAGCCCCAGGTCCACCGGTAAGTAGGCTACAGTCATAAAGTCTTGTCCACAGGTCCAATGGTTCCAGGGTAGGTAGGCCACAGTCATGGACAGTCTTGTCCACGGTCCCAGGGTAGGTAGGCCACAGTCATGGACAGTCTTGTCCACAGGCCCAACGGTAGGTAGGCAACAGTCATAGACAGTCTTGTCCACAGGTCCCAGGGTAGGTAGGCCACAGTCATGGACAGTCTTGTCCACAGGTCCAACGGTAGGTAGGCCACTGTCATAAAGTCTTGTCCACAGGTCCAAGGGTAAGTAGGCCACAGTCACGGACAGTCTTGTCCACAGGCCCAACGGTAGGTAGGCAACAGTCATAGACAGTCTTGTCCACAGGTCCCAGGGTAGGTAGGCCACAGTCATGGACAGTCTTGTCCACAGGTCCAACGGTAGGTAGGCCACTGTCATAAAGTCTTGTCCACAGGTCCCAGAGTAGGTAGGCCACAGTCACGGACAGTCTTGTCCACAGGTCCAACGGTAGGTAGGCCACAGTCATAAAGTCTTGTCCACAGGTCCCAGAGTAGGTAGGCCACAGTCACGGACAGTCTTGTCCACAGGTCCCAGGCTAGGTAGGCCACAGTCACAGATGGTTTTGCCATGGTACTCTTGTCATTTGTGCTAGTATGTATGCTTGTATGTTGTGTAAGTCTATCTTCAAATCTTTATTTAACTTTTTTAGAAATAAAAAAACAACATTTAGGGCACATAATGTTTCCTGATTTAAGAATTTATAAGGTCGATATGTCAGGACGGGAGAGGCAATGTGAACACTTTGAATTTTGTCAGGGTTGATTTGAGGATAATATTCTTGAGAACACATGGAAAATATAAGTTTAAAACAAATATGAAACGGTTCAATATAAATCAAAATAAGCATATTTTCAGTCAAATGCAGTTTTGGCTTTTGCGAAATTTTGTAAACAATTTTGTTGATGTAAACAAGTTGAGATAAATGTCATTGAAGGCCAAGCTGTTCTCGCAGTTAAGTTTCATCACTAAAAATAAATTCATATATAGCTGGATCATAGCACAAAGTAAGAGGCACAACTTTCAGACAGATGGAAATTACCACCTCACCAGTTCCCTCATCGTCAATGATAAAGCAACGTCTTGTCATAGTGAACCAATTTCATGTGACCTTAATGAATCTACCCCGAATGTCCATTACATATTCAAAATTAATGTGGTTAGTTTGTAATCATGGACAGTGATCACTTGATCCTCTATGTTGACTATATTGAGTGAGTGAGTTTGATTTTACGCCGCAATTTTCCAGCAATATCACGGTGGGGGACACCAGAAATGGGCTTCACATATTGTACCATGTGGGGAATCAAACCCGACCTTTGGCATGACAACCAAACCCTTTAACCACAAGGCTACCCCACCAACCCCCATGCCAATTTTTAGAGTATCATGATCACCGTTTCATTTTGGACAGTGTAGATGATGTACTGGTAGCTAAAGTGAGTTTTTCACCGAAACCTCAAAACCAAATGATCGTAAATTAACATGAACATTTGCATATATAAGGCTATTTTTTTAGAGTTGGTTTGTGCATTTCCCCCCAAGAAAATCAGCTCGGTGTGAAAAAAATGTCAACATGTCAAGGCAAAATACCCAGATGTGGCTGGAGTTACTGCCCCTTACTGTCAATCAGTCGAAGGTTTGGCTTGTTTCTCGTTTCTCGTCACATCTGTAAAGTCAAACTAAATATATTATATGATTGTCATTCTTTTCCAGCCTACGCCAACTTCCCAGACTGTCAGCATTCAACAATCTCTACAGCCAGATTGGCGGCAGCAGTGACCGCATCTACTTCCACATCGTTGCAAGACTGCTGCTGCATCAGAAGGTGTTCCCCGCCGATGACAAGCGAGAGGCTCTGTATGAGTTCCCGGGCTTCTGCAAAGGATGTCGCCGGGCAGGGTTCTGCTATGGCTGCAACAAGGCCACCACATTCCAGTAAGGCCATTTTTAGCCACTATTTGCAGGGCAAATGTTTCCCAAATTTTTCATCTGTGGTCGTAATATCAATTTAAAAAATAATTTAAAACTGTGTTGTTTTTATGCGATCCCTTTGGTTGCTTCCATTCTTATATTGTCCATACTGACATGCCACCAGCGTCTTCAGCAACCCATGCTTGCCGTAAAAGGCTACTAACGGGATCGGGTGGTCAGGCTCGCTGACTTGGTTGATGCATGTCATCGTATCCCAGTTGCTCTGGTCGATGCTCATGACATCAATCACTGAAATGTCTGTACCAGACTTGATTATTTACAGACCGCCGTCATATAGCTGGAACATTGCTGAGTGCGGCTTTAAACAACAAACAAACAATTCCTCTAAGACTAGCTCCACTTGCAGCGTCCACCATGACCAGCCGGTGAAGACAGGGGGAGGCTACACCTACTGGAAGAGGGACCGACCAGAGGGAGAAGATGAGTCCAAACACCCGTCCAGCTGGATGCCTCGGATCCCTGAGGAGGAACTCAGGCTGCTGCTGGAATGTAAGGAGGATGAAGTGTATGGTTGTTAGCTCAACTGGTCATATGACCACTCAAGAACTGGCCTGATGATAATGTGCTTTTAATGATATTGATTGATTATCAAAGGAAATTATTCAAACTGACTTTGAATCAAGATATTGGGATGACAACCTACTGTTATCTATAATATGGAGTGATCTAAACCAAATTTACTGTTATGAACAACTTTAAATTTGATAGCAAAGTGTTTCTTTGAGTATTTATGAAAACATGTGTGTGACTTCTATAGTTTTGTTTCTACATGACAACAAATACAGACAAAATACAGAATGGGTTGAGGCAATACAACTTGTTCTTCTGACCAATCACTTTATGCCTCTGTGTAACCCCTATCCTACTACCTGCTGTATACAATGTTCGCTCGTTAATTAGGTTTTGTCTCGTTTGCCTGTAGCGGAGCATGCGATGTCGCAGGCTGCGAAGGACGCGCTGTGGACGCGGCTGATTGCCCACTACCCCTGGCTGTATGACATCCCTTTGAATGAACTAACTCTGGAGAAAATGAAGGAACTAGGACTAGGTATGTATATTTCACTTGTACTGTCAGGCTACACCTTTTACTTTATTTTTACTTGCTTTTCAGATGTTTTACAGGAAAATAACTGTCGGCAGGTAGGGGGGAAAAAGAATAAAAAAGCAATTCAATTAATTGTAGTTTTCTGCTCCACTACAGGTCTTCTGGTATAAAAAACTATAAATAGTTTTATGTGGGAGGAGAGCCTGCCACAGTTGTTGCTTTAAGCAGTGCAAACTTTACGAATCAAGCGGGAATACTGAAGTGTATCTATGCATCCTATCAATTTCAGGAAAGACAACAAACTTTATTTTGATTCTCTGATGATGTTTAATATGTCAACCTCAGTGGATCGTGCTTTAGAAAACATTTTTTGAGTGCAATATGCTGTAAGTTTATCTGCAGGATAAACAAAAGGATCAAATTCGGAAAAATAATTGTCCATTTCTACCAAATTTACAGTTGGCGGAACCATAAAACAATACAAAAAAGTGTGACCATAATGAAGTTCATTTCATGATTTTATTTAAATATTACAATATTTTCTTGTTTATAGAGTGGGGCGGGGTAGCCAAGTGGTTAAAGCATATGCTCGTCAATAACCAGGGTTTGATTCCTAACATGGATACAATGTGTGAAACTCATTTCTATTGTCCTCCTGCTGTGACATTGATGGAATACTACTAAAAGTGGATTAAACCAAACTCACTTATTCATGAGCATAATGCGCACCCCCTATTGTTGGATGCAAGTTTTGGAAAGAATTACTATTTACAAAACGAGCACGTAAGCAGTAATAATACAGGTTTTCTAGAAGGAAACCACCACTGTTTAAACATTATAGGCTTCTGAAAGTAGTTATCTTGTCATAACCCCCTATAATGTAAGTAGCATTATGGAAGCTGTAGTGTGAAGGAAAACAGAGTTAAGTGAATGGATTTCAATGTCTTTATTCTTGTGACATTTTGGTGGAGGTGATAGTACCTTCATCAAGCAGGTGTACCGTTATCACCTGCTTAAGGGTACTAGCATCTCTACCGAAATATTGCAATGAAACAATAAAGAGCATGGTAATCAATGTGAACGCTGTCTCTCTTTTAACACTGACTGGATGTTCTTGGCTTTTTCTGCGAACATTAATGAGAAATACACCTATAGGTGTAGCGAGAGCATGTGCTGTATGAGAAATACACCCATAGATGTAGCTAGAGCATGTGCTGTATGAGAAATACACCCATAGATGTAGCCAGAGCATGTGCTGTATGAGAAATACACCCATAGGTGTAGCCAGAGCATGTGCTGTATGAGAAATACACCCATAGGTGTAGCCAGAGCATGTTCTGTATGAGAAATACACCCATAGGTGTAGCGAGAGCATGTGCTGTATGAGAAATACACCCATAGGTGTAGCCAGAGCATGTGCTGTATGAGAAATACACCCATAGGTGTAGCCAGAGCATGTGCTGTATGAGAAATACACCCATATATGTAGCCAGAGCATTTTCTGTATGAGAAATATACCCATAGGTGTAGCCAGAGCAGGTGCTGTATGAGAAATATACCCATAGCTGTAGCCAGAGCATGTGCTGTATGAGAAATACACCCATAGCTGTAGCCAGAGCATGTGCTGTATGAGAAATACACCCATAGGTGTAGCCAGAGCATGTGCTGTATGAGAAATACACCCATAGGTGTAGCCAGAGCATGTGCTGTATGAGAAATACACCCATAGGTGTAGCGAGAGCATGTGCTGTATGATAAATACACCCATAGCTGTAGCCAGAGCATGTGCTGTATGAGAAATACACCCATAGGTGTAGCCAGAGCATGTACTGTATGAGAAATACACCCATAGGTGTAGCCAGAGCATGTGCTGTATGAGAAATACACCCATAGGTGTAGCGAGAGCATGTGCTGTATGATAAATACACCCATAGGTGTAGCCAGAGCATGTGCTGTATGAGAAATACACCCATCGGTGTGGCCAGAGCATGTACTGTATGAGAAATACACCCATAGGTGTAGCAAGAGCATGTGCTGTATGAGAAATACACCCATAGGTGTAGCAAGAGCATGTGCTGTATGAGAAATACACCCATAGGTGTAGCCAGAGCATGTGCTGTATGAGAAATACACCCATAGGTGTAGCCAGAGCATGTGCTGTATGAGAAATACACCCATATATGTAGCCAGAGCATTTTCTGTATGAGAAATATACCCATAGGTGTAGCCAGAGCAGGTGCTGTATGAGAAATATACCCATAGGTGTAGCCAGAGCATGTGCTGTATGAGAAATACACCCATAGGTGTAGCCAGAGCATGTGCTGTATGAGAAATACACCCATAGGTGTAGCGAGAGCATGTGCTGTATGATAAATACACCCATAGCTGTAGCCAGAGCATGTGCTGTATGAGAAATACACCCATAGGTGTAGCCAGAGCATGTACTGTATGAGAAATACACCCATAGGTGTAGCCAGAGCATGTGCTGTATGAGAAATACACCCATAGGTGTAGCGAGAGCATGTGCTGTATGATAAATACACCCATAGGTGTAGCCAGAGCATGTGCTGTATGAGAAATACACCCATCGGTGTGGCCAGAGCATGTACTGTATGAGAAATACACCCATAGGTGTAGCAAGAGCATGTGCTGTATGAGAAATACACCCATAGGTGTAGCAAGAGCATGTGCTGTATGAGAAATACACCCATAGGTGTAGCCAGAGCATGTGCTGTATGAGAAATACACCCATAGGTGTAGCCAGAGCATGTGCTGTATGAGAAATACACCCATATATGTAGCCAGAGCATTTTCTGTATGAGAAATATACCCATAGGTGTAGCCAGAGCAGGTGCTGTATGAGAAATATACCCATAGGTGTAGCCAGAGCATGTGCTGTATGAGAAATACACCCATAGCTGTAGCCAGAGCATGTGCTGTATGAGAAATACACCCATAGGTGTAGCCAGAGCATGTGCTGTATGAGAAATACACCCATAGGTGTAGCCAGAGCATGTGCTGTATGAGAAATACACCCATAGGTGTAGCGAGAGCATGTGCTGTATGATAAATACACCCATAGGTGTAGCCAGAGCATGTGCTGTATGAGAAATACACCCATCGGTGTGGCCAGAGCATGTACTGTATGAGAAATACACCCATAGGTGTAGCAAGAGCATGTGCTGTATGAGAAATACACCCATAGGTGTAGCAAGAGCATGTGCTGTATGAGAAATACACCCATAGGTGTAGCCAGAGCATGTGCTGTATGAGAAATACACCCATAGGTGTAGCCAGAGCATGTGCTGTATGAGAAATACACCCATATATGTAGCCAGAGCATTTTCTGTATGAGAAATATACCCATAGGTGTAGCCAGAGCAGGTGCTGTATGAGAAATATACCCATAGGTGTAGCCAGAGCATGTGCTGTATGAGAAATACACCCATAGCTGTAGCCAGAGCATGTGCTGTATGAGAAATACACCCATAGGTGTAGCCAGAGCATGTGCTGTATGAGAAATACACCCATAGGTGTAGCCAGAGCATGTGCTGTATGAGAAATACACCCATAGGTGTAGCGAGAGCATGTGCTGTATGATAAATACACCCATAGCTGTAGCCAGAGCATGTGCTGTATGAGAAATACACCCATAGGTGTAGCCAGAGCATGTACTGTATGAGAAATACACCCATAGGTGTAGCCAGAGCATGTGCTGTATGAGAAATACACCCATAGGTGTAGCGAGAGCATGTGCTGTATGATAAATACACCCATAGGTGTAGCCAGAGCATGTGCTGTATGAGAAATACACCCATCGGTGTGGCCAGAGCATGTACTGTATGAGAAATACACCCATAGGTGTAGCCAGAGCATGTGCTGTATGAGAAATACACCCATAGGTGTAGCAAGAGCATGTGCTGTATGAGAAATACACCCATAGATGTAGCTAGAGCATGTGCTGTATGAGAAATACACCCATAGATGTAGCTAGAGCATGTGCTGTATGAGAAATACACCCATAGGTGTAGCCAGAGCATGTGCTGGGAGGAGAAAGTGGTCCCATGTCACTACCTTTGTACTGTGGAGCACTAACTGTGACACAGATAATTACAGTAACAGACGATTAAAGGGATCTGGTGGTCAGGCTCGCTGACGTGGTTAAAACATGTCATCGTATCCCAATTGCGTGGATCGATGCTCATGACATCAATCACTGGATTGTCTGGTCCAGGGTTGATTATAAACAGACCGTCTTCATATAGTTGGAATATTGCCGTAATCGGCGTTAAGTAACAAAGAAAAGAAAACATAAGTTACATAAATGAATTTGCATATCGTGTGCATGTGTCATTGAATCTGCCTATAGACTCAATTTATTTACAGACCGCTGTCATATAGCTGGAATATTGCTGAGTATTGCTGGTGTTAAACAACAAACAAACAAAAACAGTATTCAGTTATTGTCGTTTCAGTGTCACCAGCTGCTGGGGATGAGGTTGGGGAGGAAGGTGGGGATGAGGGTTACAAGCCGAGCATGGTCCGGATTCCAGAAGTGGACACGGACTCGGATGCTATGTCTTACACCAGGCTGGAGAAGATCCTACAGACCAGGGATGCCACCAAGAAGAAATATAGTGAGTGGAGAGTGGAGAGACCACAAGTAATCACTGTTCTTCTTTCTGTCTACTGTCAGGTGACAGTTTAATTGAGTATAGTAGACCATTGTCATACCTCCTCAAAAAACAGACTGTATCTGGCAGGGTTAGCCAGACATCTAGACAAACATATATTCCATGAAATCCACTATTACACAACACAGTTGTTCCTTCCTGATGCTGATTTCATAGAACTGACTAGAGTTGCTTTTTAAAATCTAGGTTGGTTTTGGTTTTATAAAGTTTATATATTCTGCAGCCTTCAAGCTGAAGAAGAAGGTGAAGAAGGAGGAGAGTGTTCCAACAGAACCCACCACAAGGCAGACCACACAGACCATTTCCAGACCCGACACTGACCGGCTACGAGGCTGGGACAGTGACAGCATGTACGACACCAGCAACATCGTCGACTCTGACAAGGAGGAAGGTGCTGAATTGCTTAGTACCGGAATATAAAATATAGGTTTACTTTTGGGATCCGTATAACAATGACCATGTTTTGTAGTGTGAGGTTATGTATTTTTTTTAAACATAAAGTTAAAAGTTAAAAGTAAATATTATTATAATGGTTATAGTCTGTTTGAAAGTGCAGAACTCCTTACACAAAGCATACACAAAGCGTTGCATTATTATTACCCGAGTCAGTGGATCAGAGTGCACTTAATTTTTCATTCTCAGCTCCCTGGGGAGTATACAAATGATGGGGGAAAATATTATGTTCTATTGGTATGTACAAGAATTGAGAAATCCTTGTATTTTACTGCACTGAAGTTTCAAAACATGTATCTGTTGGGTTCTTGTGTTCATTTCCTTTCATGAGAAATATGCTTAGTGCTCAAGTTTTCCTGTATTGTGTATTGTATGGTGACCTTGTTGTAACACACTGCAACAAAATGTAACTTTACCTCACTGATCAAGAGATATGCATTGTATGCTATGTTTGAACCAATAGCCACCTACATTTTCTACAAGTTTCTAATTAAAAACCTCAGTATTTAGCATTGTTAATGCAGTTGTAAGTCAGAGTTTGAAAACTGAGATGTTTTAGCAGATTATATTTGATCTATACCTGTCTAGCATCAACAGATGAAAAGCTTTTATCTGAAGTCTAAGTGACTGTGTATCTTAACTCAGTAGACACGTTTCACATATTTCCATGACTATTTCAGATACTACTGAAACAGATTCAAAGAAGCAGAGTTTGTATAAAGGTATTCTTTGTCTTCATATGGCCTAAGGGGCGGTTGGGTAGCCTTGTGGTTAAGTGTTAGCTTGTCATGTTGAAGGTTCAATTTATCACACACTCACTCACTCACTCATACGTATGGCCTCATGTGTCATGATTAGTAACATGTGATCACTGTTAAAAACAGTCTTAAAACATTATAAAAACATTCCTATAAAAACAGGAGTTTGCTTGGATCATGAAGTTACCATCTTAAATGTGTGTTCAAGTTCAAGGTTTCACTGGATGTGGGCAGATCAGTATCTTATCTTCTGCAAGTGAGTGGAACATCATTGTAGATATTCAAGCAATCAAAAGATTTCAGGTTTAAATTCCGTGTGAATATATGTGACAAAATGTTGTGAAACTGACATGTGTCTTTGTATTGAGGTGTCATACCCTTGCTCCATATGGTTCTTCAGCACCTAGGTTCTTCAAGGTGAAGAAGAAGCAACGTCAGACCATCATGTCAAGGTCACCCTTCTCCACCGACCGCCAGTATGACATCCCTAAAGGAAGACCCCTGGACATCAAGAAGGGCACCAAGTCCACCACAGAGTTCATGGACTTCAAGAAGTCTGCATCAAACTGGAAGGTGATTCATTGTCATCATTGTATTGTTCAAGGTCAAGGTCAAGGTCACAAGTTATGATGCAGCTTCTTGGAATATTTACAAGAATACCAAGTATATTCCAGATGAGATAAAGAATACATATGTCTTTATAGCCATGTCATGTGTACCTTAATTCATACCAAATGCTAAGGTATTTAGATGTACATAAATGCAATAATCTTGAACACAACATTAAACCCCATTTCACCTAACATCTTAGCTAGAGACAAAATATTTCAAGTCGGATTAAAAAAAATTATTATATAAAATATTCTCCAAGTATGAAATAACTGAAGTGGAAGTAACTAAACGAACTAAAATTGGAGAATTGCCAATGCATGATTTGTCAACACTGTTGCAGGCACCCCGAAAGTTTGAGCTTCAGCATACTGAAAAGAAGAGTACATCCTTCTGGCAGCCAAGGTCAGGTGGAGGTCGCGGCGAGAACAAAGGTCAAAGACAGGAAGTATGTGGCAAGAAACCATGTTTACATTATCATGCCAGGTCCAACAGTAAAGTTGTATGGTTATGGTTATTGTTGTATAGTTTAATATTTAAATCATTATGAAGCATGAATTCTTATGGATGTTCACAACTTCAACCAAGTAAGGTGTATCTTAAATTAACCATTTATTATCACATCTGTTTGCAAATCCTCTTGTTCATTCAAACAAACCTAACATGAAGTCTAATACAAGAACAGAAGAAGGAAATCTTGACGTTGACAGAATATAACAGATTAGTAAGCAACAGAAACTGTTACCCTGATTAGTCAAAATTACAGTAATTCTAATGATATTGACTATATGACTCTACGGACTGATCAGCGTTCTAGCATACCACTGTTGAGACAAGCTACTTGATGATGTTTGAATGTGTCCTGCGTCAGAGAAAAAGTCACATCTAAAATATTCCACTCCTTTCAAACTGCTATACATCCCTAATAAGGAATGCAATGTGATCAGACATTTCACTAAAACTTGTCAAAAGAATATAAAACTTCATAGACAGACTTTGAAATTTGAGAATAATTTGAGAAAGCGCGGAAAGTTTGGAAATCACATGCAGCATATCATGATAAGAATAAGGTCACTCTGTGGTAACACTTGAATGATTGTAAGTTTTGTCATTAAGTGGTACACATTGGAAACATCTCTTCTTAACATACATTTTCTCTACATGTTTCTATGGTTTGCATTTCTTTTGCCGGTAACTGTATGATGAATATGTGTTGCAGGATGAAGCCAATTACTTGTCAGTGCTGGAGAGGAAACGGTAAGACACAATAACTACCAACCCTAAAAGTGATTCTTTTTGTCTGGGAGACACAATATTTGATTGTTTTTGTCTGGGAGACACAATATTTGATTCTTTTTGTGAGGGAGACACAATATTTGATTCTTTTTGTCTGGGAGACACAATATTTGATTCTTTTTGTGACGGAGACACAATATTGGATTCTTTTTGTCTGGGAGACACATTATTTGATTCTTTTTGTGAGGGCGACACATTATTTGATTCTTTTTGTGAGGGAGACACAATATTTGATTCTTTTTGTGAGGGAGACACAATATTTGATTCTTTTTCTGGGAGACACAAGATTTGATTCTTTTTGTGAGGAGACACAATATTTGATTCTTTTTGTCTGGGAGACACAATATTTTATTCTTTTTGTGAGGGAGACACAATATTTGATTCTTTTTGCGAGGGAGACACAATATTTGATTCTTTTTGTGAGGAGACACAATATTTGATTCTTTTTGTGACGGAGACACAATATTTGATTCCTTTTGTCTGGGAGACACATTATTTGATTCTTTTTGTGAGGGAGACACAATATTTGATTCTTTTTGTGACGGAGACACAATATTTGATTCTTTTTGTGACGGAGACACAATATTTGATTCTTTTTGTCTGGGAGACACATTATTTGATTCTTTTTGTGAGGGAGACACAATATTGGATTCTTTTTGTGAGGGAGACACAATATTGGATTCTTTTTTTTTTCTGGGAGACACAAGATTTGATTCTTTTTGTGAGGAGACACAATATTTGATTCTTTTTGTCTGGGAGACACAATATTTTGTTCTCAAATATGTGTTCTCATTTGAACTGGACTATAATCTGGTTAAATGTTGCTCTTGGGGATTCCAGGATAGAAGAGGTTCCAAGGAATCTTTGTTGTGAGAGACTATTAAATGGATCATGTAGTCAGGCTTGGTCATTTGGTTCATTTCATGTCATCGTTTTCTGATGGGTGTGGCTGTTAATGTCCGTAATGATTTGACTCGTCCAGACTCCATCATTTACAGGGAGATATATCGCTGATTGCAGCATTAAACAAGAAACAAACTATGTATCTTCAACAATAACTATTAGAGTATTTAACATCAAATATTTCTTAACACAAGCATGGTGATGAGATCTCTACACACTTAATGGTCATGTCAATCTCATCCTTCACTGCAGGAGAGAGTTGGAGAGAAGCTTGTCGCCTGACTCAGGGCTGGACAGTGAGGTGGTGACAGGTATGTTATTTACAGTATTTATGTTATTTACAGTATTTATGTTATTTACAGTGTTTATGTTATGTACAGTATTTATGTTATGTACAGTATTTATGTTATTTACAGTATTTATGTTATTTACAGTATTTATGTTATTTACAGTATTTATGTTATGTACAGTACATGTATTTATGTTATTTACAGTATTTATGTTATTTACAGTATTTATGTTATGTACAGTATTTATGTTATTTACAGTATTTATGTTATTTACAGTATTTATGTTATGTACAGTATTTATGTTATTTACAGTATTTATGTTATTTACAGTATTTATGTTATTTACAGTATTTATGTTATTTACAGTATTTATGTTATGTACAGTATTTATGTTATTTACAGTATTTATGTTATTTACAGTATTTATGTTATGTACAGTATTTATGTTATTTACAGTATTTATGTTATTTACAGTATTTATGTTATTTACAGTATTTATGTTATTTACAGTATTTATGTTATTTACAGTATTAATGTTATTTACAGTATTTATGTTATTTACAGTATTTATGACCTATTAATGACTAGAGACCAATGGCAAACCATATTAGTGGTTCCGCTTACCAGTAATATTTCATTTTCATCAGTGCCCATGCAGATGATGTTCACTTCTTTCTTTACAGAAAGTCATAGGTATTAATACAAGTTGGGTCTAAAACTATGTGTTAAATGTCTTTACTTCAGCATTTGTTTTTTTTAAATCGGGACAATGTATTGCAAGGACCAGTATTTTTAATTCACTTAAATCTATGGTCATAGTGAATTTAAATCGCCATTTAGTAGTGAGTGAGTGTTAAAATTTAACATCGAAACAATGGTGACAATCAAGGGTGAAACGATACATCAGTGCACAGGTGCATCGTGAGTTTTCATGCGACACTACGATACATGATACATTTCTTTCTGTATCGATACAAGACGATTGACTAGGCAGCGCGTCCTGGGAGAAGTCCCATTCGCTGCCTGGGCTGCGTGTAGAGGGGGCACAGGGAACACAGATAGTATGTAGTTCATTGAACCTGGCTACACAAAAAATCTGGCATATAAATTGGATATATGTTATTGGAAAATGGCCTGATATTCAACAAACGGTGAGTCAAATGGTGAGCCATTGTTGATTTGCAATGTCTTCAACGGCATTGTTTTCTCACCCTTGTTAAAAAATGTCATGGAGGAGAACAGTAACGCAAAACGCACGTGCCAGATATGGCATTCATAACTCGTGGTAGTGGCTATAAAAAGGCAAGCATAAGCCAATAATTTGTCATTCATTTGTCAACATTTTTCAAGTTTGAAAATGCCAAGACTCAGCGCTGCCGATCGGAACATCGCCATAGGACGTATCCAAACAGTCATCTGTTGCACGCCACTTCAACATCCACCACAGCACCATTTGTCACCTTTGGGGCCGATACACACAGTTCAATTCGACTGCAGATCGTCCGAGAACTGTCCGACCAAGAGTTACCACCCCTGCACAAGATCGTTACATTTGACTGTTCCACCTACGTCATCACAACGCCACAGCTAAGGACACTGCAGTACGCATCCCTGGTTTAGGAGGATATCAGACCAGACTGTCAGGAAACGTCTTCGCGAGGCTGGAATCCAACCCAGAAGACCAGTTATCGTCCGTGTTTTGCAACAGATCCATCGACCACGAAGCTTGCGTTAGTGCCTTACAATACAGCCTTGGAATATGAGAAAATGGAGACAAGTATGGTTTAGCAATGAATCACGATTTCTACTTCACCGGCGAGATGGAAGCCAATGTGTTTGTCTTCATCGAAATGAGCTTTTGGACCAACATTGTGTAAGTGAATTCGACAATTTCGGTGGCGGTAGTGTCATGGTGTAGGAGGCCATATCCTACACCAGGAGATCTGACTTGGTTGTAGTTCAGGGAAATTTGACAGCAAATCACAACATGAATCAAATTCTTCAACCTCGTGTCATGGTAGACTACCCTCATAATGCCAACATCAATGTCTTGCCATGGCCGTCGAGATCTCCAGATTTCGACCCAATCGAACACCTCTGGGATGAAATTGATCGACGTGTACGTCAACATCAGAACACGCCGCAGACACTTCCTCAGCTGGCCAACAAGGCAGAATTGCGCAGAATCCACAGGACAGAACTTGTACACTTATCCAGTCAGTGCCGAGGAGATGCAGGGCCGTGATTGCTGCCCGGGGCGGTCACACGAGATACTGAGTTCAGCTCTACCTTGTAGCCTTATGTGACATGACAATGAACAGTTTTCAATGCCTTTGTACATGACAACATGTGACTATTGAGCTCCAAAATTTCTTATTTGTATATATGATATTAAACTAAATATATCGACTTTATTAGGTACAATTAATTCACTAAACATCTACCTGTGTGTTTCTTTTTTTGAAGAGTGTATAGTTACCTCCCTTGACATTTGTTATTTATGTTAACCTGGGTGAAATAATATGGAAAAATGCTTAAGGCTACACATTTTCATTTCTACCTGAGGATGGGTTTAGAAGTGGATGTTGATGAAGTCTTTTCAAACTGTTTGAATTTTGCACTTGCCAATATGATAGGTGAGCTAATGAACCTCATGGCTCAAAATTGCATTTTGGTTACAAAAATGATCAAAGGTGATGAATATATTATCTACATTCCCGAACAGAAAAGTTACCATCATCGAATGAGGAGGCTCTGAGACCACACCCTACTAGAAGCACAAGGCTTTTACAGCAAATCCCAAATATTGCTTCATCTCGACACGGAAGAAGTAAAAGAAACCTGTTTACTGCGCGGTTATTTAGCTATACAGTATACTCACGTGTCCCTGCTGGAAGAAGGCGGAAAGACATAAAGACAGACCCAACATTAAGGTTTAACTGTAGACTGAAGGTAGCGATCAGGCCTTGTGAGACTGATATGGAGACAGGTATTGAGTGCTGCTCTTGTGCATGCTGTGGTCTTCTCCACACTAACTCTTGTCCTTTTCTCTGGCCAAGACACTTCATTCTTGCAATGAGCCTCATCCGTTATCCTTTCAGTTACTAGGGCTGGGATGAGTCCAAATTTACTACCCGGTTCCCACCCCCCTATTACCTGACCCTACCTGGGTACCCACTGTAGGTTTCAAGAGCTAGGTACAAAATGTCCGATTGGGAATTATTTTACAATAGCCCTGGCAAAGGAATTATTTTACAATAGCCCTGGCAAAATGTATTGAGATACATGTCTTTAACATTCTGGTCATGCATACACTGAAGTTACTAGTATAGCTTTACTCAACCATATGAAAAGTCAGAAGGAATGGGTGCATAGTCCGAAAGAAATGTGAACTTTAGTGACTTGTCGTGTAGCCATAGAGTTATAGATAATTTTTGTCTTTAAACAATATATCACATGACTTACCACGGGTCCGGGTAGTCTGGGTCCTACTCAGTACCCACCCAACCCGGGTACCCGAGTTACCCGTCCCAGCCCGATCACTCATGTTTGTTTTACACTTATACTCGTTATGTGGAATCTGGTTTACTTGGAAAATTAAATGCTCAAATAGATTCATGAAAGCTGGAATTGTTGAAATAGAAATAACGAATATCTAGATCCATTTTCTGGGGCCCCAAATCACTTTACATTTGGATCATGTAAGTGTACAGGAAATTGTTTTTTCAAACAATCTGGTTACATATCTCACAACTATCTAGCCGCAAGTGATCACCGCACACTATCTGTTGATTGGCAGTTGCTGCATACAGCATCTGTTAACAACAAATCATTTGGTGATCATTCTTATAAGCATGTGCAGTTATTAATAAGGTATGTCGCAGGGTCAGGCTTCTAGTTGTCCCAGACAATATTCAAAGTATTTGAGTTTCATTAAAACGTATTTATTTGCCTGTACCAAGAAACGTCAACATCAGAAAGGTGTTGATAGCTGTTGGCCATCCTACTAGGCTGACAGTGGACAGTTGACTGTACATTCAAATTATCATGACATCACAGGTCAAAGCCTGTTAATAAGGTGTTAAGCCAAGTATGGGTAGCACGTACAACTGCTTATATGTAGACAGTGAAGGTGCAGGCTTAAGATAGATAAAAGTAGAAGTAAGGCTGCCAGCGACAGGTATCGTGTTCAACAGGTGCGGTGGAGTAGCCAAGTGGTTAAAGTGTTGCTTGTCACACCGAATCCTGGGTTCAATTCCCCATACAGAGACAATGTGTGAATCCTGTTTCTGGATTCCCCTTCCCTTGATATTGCTGGAATATTGCTTAAAGGGTTATAAAACCCTACTCACTCATATGTTCCACCTCGGCAAGGTACCAAATAGTGTGAGTTTTAAAATTTTCTAGGACAGGCAGTTAAGCCGTACCCCGTTAAGCGTGAATTATTGCAGTTGTTATTTCCCCCTCGTGTAGGTAGTCAAATCGTATGTTGTATGGGATGGAGACGTCGGAATCTTGTGCGTTAGATATTTACTTTACCCTCAACCCTCAGGATTGCACTGAATGAGAGTCAACTTTATTTGAAGGGCTGCATGGTTTGAGTGCTGTGTCTTATTTTGTGTGTCAAATTACGTGTTTCCTGTTTAGATGGTGCAAACTTCTATGCATGATATGCAAATCTACTAATAGTGTTCTCTTTGCTCTGAAATACAATCCAATACATTGACATCATACATTGTCACACCCTACTGGTATCACAGTGCATGGGAGATAACTCTTAATGTACAGCTCTGTACAATGTCAAGGAATTTAAGGAATACAGATTCATATAAATGATTGGATCAACATAGGATCTCAATGTCCTCTATATAAAAGGAGGTAATAACAACTGACTAAGTACAAAAATATCATAAAAACATAAGATGATTTTTAAAATATTTATAAGGCCAGACAATTATTTCCATGTGTTACAAATGAATTGTCTTAATGAAGTAAAAATAATTGTCTCTTTTTGTTTAATTTTCTATTTCAAGAGCATTTTGTTAAAAAATATAATATAAAATCAACACTGACAAAAAGAAGTCTATTTTCCATCCATCCAAGAAAATCTATATGGCCAGAAAATTAGTGGGCCTGCCTTATATTATTGTGCATCTTACCGAGGCAAGGGAGTTAACTGACTTTAAAAGTCCAGTTTCCACCCTTGCCGAACTAGGCTGGAATTACTGGGCTCGATCGTTGTGGCTATTACCACCAGTGGCTATTACCAATTATGTCCCTTCTAAGCCTCTCCTATGGACCAATCAGATTCCACCTCTCGTATCACTTGTGTTTGCTTCACACAAAATGGTGGCGCCCAGTCAGGACGATCTGATCGATAATCAAGATCTTATATTGTGATAAAACGGGTCTTACATCGCGAAATGCATCAAATCACGTGTGCACCTTGATTAAAAACATGAAAGGATTTGGAACATATCTGCCGACAACGAATTGGCGATGCACATGCTTTGCAAACCCTGCAATCGATCAAAATCTGCACAACAGTTTACGAACCAGATTTTGATTTCGGTGCGCGATTTTGATTGGACTATGCATAGACTTGTTAGTCCAGACAAAATGTAACTCCATAATACCAGCCTAGTTCGGCAAGGGTGGAAACTGGACTTTTATAGTCAGTTAACTCCTTTGCCTCGGGAAGATGATTATTGTGCAGTAAAAGCAATCTTGAAGCTATTTGTACTATTTTACTGATGTTACTTACTCAGAATAGGAATGTCAAAACAAAGATTTAAGTTTCACGAATCGGTGCAGAAGCTCAACTAACTGCTTTGAATGAAGCTTGACACATAACAGCCAAACTTAATTAAGTAACTAAAGTTGTTGAAAGGATATCCGATTTATGAAAAACTTATTTAAGTTTCAGAATCATTGAAGGAGTCCACAGAAGACAATTTCAGAGACTCAATACAACAAAACACAGGTAAGTTGATCTGGATATTTCAGAATGAATTTGTCATGAGATTTCAGGGTTACTGCAAGTGCCAGACGAGTTGAAGAGTGATGTATACAGATAATGTTGTGTTGAATCAAGTCCACTCTGGTTGAATCAAGTCAACTCTGGTTGATTCAACTCAACTCTGGTTGATTCAAGTCAACTCTGGTTGAATCAAGTCAACTCTGGTTGAATCAAGTCAACTCTGGTTGATTCAGGTCACTGAAATTTACTAGTCAAACTTAATGTTAGTCATAAGGAAACACACACATACACACACATGCTGACAGATTATACGTGCAGGCACAGAGATGCAACATAGCTGCAAACGCCAGCGTGAGTAATTGGCACTAGTCCAGTAGTCCTTGCCAAACTGCCCAATAGTTAAGGTATCATAAGGACTAGTAGAAATTTGCCATTTTTAAGGGTTTTGCTATATGTTATCATTATAAGGACTAGTGGACACAAAATGTTATTTTCTACTGCTGAAATGCACATGCACGCACACGCACACACGCACGCACACATGATAATTTTAGAGTAAGGGCTCCACTGAGGGATTTGGTGGCCCTTACAGTGTGTATATGTCCGCCTGTTATGTCACTGCTATAAATTTACATGTATACTTCTCAGGTGTAGATTGATTGAATCAGTTCAACTGAACACTTAAAACACATGGTCCTGACATGCATCACATGAAGACATGTTTTATGATGGTAATCTATCACCACTGTAACAGTAGACCATTCATGACAAAACAACTTCAAGATTTCACAGGATACAGGGTAATCAAGCTATCAACTATCTTTGGTTTGTCCAGGGGACCAGTGGATCCTGAAGCCAAAATCTTCCACCAAAATTAATAACTTTTCGACCAAATTATCATAAACATTACAAAGAGTTTATTTGTGATGTCTTTGTAAGAGGGTCCTGATGGTAAATAATTGTTGTTTAATGCATCTAGAGAAATAGTTACAGTGTAAAATGAATAAGAAACTGTATTGTGAGTGTAAAATACACGGCACTGTAGCTCACCTGGATGGGTAGTTAACAATATATAATGTCAGCAAAGATGTTGTCAGAAGTGATATTCAGATATTTCCTGTATAACTTTTGAGGACTAAAAAATAAAGCTAACATCTAATGGTTTGAACAAAATATGATGTCATCATACGAAGAATACTTGTGTCCCACACAGAATATTGCTGAAATATTGCTGAAACATAGCTGAATGCATAACAAAACAAAACTGAGTCGCCAATAGTTTTAGGTTGCCACCATGTTTAAAATATTAATTAAGCAGGACCCGTTTCATGGACCCACCTAAGAACTTAGATGCCTGGAACTCCTATACTTTAACATACAATAATCATAACCCGTGAAGATCCGGCTTAGAATAGGTCTTCAGCAACCCATACATGCCATAAAAGGCGACTAGGCGCCTAACGGGATTGGGTGGTCAGAGTCGCTGACTTCTTTGATGCATGTCATCGTATCCCAATCATAGATCGATGCTCATGATGTCAATCACTGGATTGTCTGGTCAAGACTCGATTATTTACAGATCGCCGTCATATAGCTGGAATATTGCTGAGTGCGGCCTTAAACAGCAAACAAACAAAAAATAAAAAAAGTTCAAAGAATGCTTTGTTGAACAATGACAAGATATGACACCACAACGCTTGGTAACAATTAAAAAAAATATTCAAAGTGCAGCAATGCAGCACTGTGACAAATGGTCAAAATGTTGTCACACTTTGTTTAATTTTGACACTTTCTGCTGGTTTTGTAATAGCAACATGAACATGATCCATCTAGGAATCCATAAGTAATTTCCATAAGTAATTTCTATAAGTGTGATTTCATCACTTTCATTTGGACATTTAAATATTTCTACAGTTATTATGAATTTTTCTCTCTTGGAAATTGACTAAATGTATCTAGGAAAATTGACATTTGCAAAAAACTCAATACTTAATACTTGCCCTTTGAGTTCACACAAGCAAATGCTTTAACCACTAAACTACTGCAACCCCTCCACAAAATATTCATAAAAAATAGCAATAAATATAAATATAATATAAATATAAAAATAATACTGGTTTAAGTAAAATCGGGTTTAAATAAAATCTAATTGTTTCTATAGTTTTTTTATCCAGGAATCTGAAACCTAGTTCCCCTTCCCATAAGTATGTAATAAATTACTAATAATGCCTTATTAAGACCCTCCCTGAAATTCCCAAAGTAGTCAGCTTTCAAGACCTTGAATAATTCCTCAATTGACACTCTGCCAGAAGCAGTCTTGGTTTTTGGTTACCCTCTTCTAGCCAACAGGCATTCTCAGATCAGATCCACAGCAAATGTTGGTAAAAATTCCCATATTGAAATTCAAACTTATCCACTTTGGCCAAATACTGAAATGTAAATAGGGTGTCAGTTACTGTTATCCTGTGTGACTCTTATTAACTCTATATATTATTTAAAATGATGTAAGGCCCAGCAGAATCCTTATCGGCAATTTGGTCTAGTAACATTGGTTCTCCACTTGTCTCAAACTACCGGTACTGATAACTTAATATACCAAACAAAAAAAGTTAAAAAGACAATATTTTGTAGTTGTGAAGACTGAGCACACAATTAAATAAATATATCCCCAAAATATTTATGATCCATAACTCATTTTGTTCAATATGTATTTGTAATAGTGACAGTCTTGAGGATAGTAATTTCAGCCCACATTTAACAGCTGTTGTTGTTGTTGTTGTTGTTGTTTGTTGTTTAACGACACACTCAGCAATATTCCAGCTATATGATGGCGTTCTGTAAATAATCAAGTCTGGACCAGACAATCCAGTGATTGATATCATGAGCATCGATCCACGCAATTGGGATCGATGACATGTATCAACCAAGTCAGCAAGCCTGACCACCCGATCCCGTTAGTCGCCTTTTACAGCAAGTATGGGTTGCTGAAGACCTATTCTAACCCGGATCTTCACGGGTCACATTTAACAGTAGTTCAATTATGTCACTGCATCTCAGTGCATGACGTGATGCATGGAGCAGACAGTTACATAGGCACTGGTGCTGGCAGATCAAAGATCATTACAATGTCACATCCACCTGGGATTTGAACCAATGACCAGCAAACACTCCTGGCATGGCCAGGGTAGTGGGAAGCCAAGTAGATAAAGCGTTTATTCCACACGCGGAAAGCCCAGGTCTAATTCCCCAAATGGGTACAATTTGTGAAGCCCATTTCTGGTGTCCCCTGCAGTGACATTGCTTGAATATTGCTAAAAGCAGCGATATAAACTAACAGTTTTAGTCCACTTGTCCTTATAGTGATAACATGTAGTAAAACACTTAAAAAGGACAAATTTCTACTAGTCCTTTGGATACCTTCACTATTGGGCAGTTTGGTAAGGACTTCAGGACTAGTGCCAGTTTCTAACTCTGTAAAAGCAGCCTAAAACCATACTCACACTCATTCCTGGCATGGCCAAGGGAAGCAACTCTTCACAGCAATTTGCATTGTCTTTGATCACAGTCCCACCTGTGTCTGCAATTTATTTTAATCTGCTGCAAAGTATTAACCAAGTTGCCCTCATGTATAATTCATTTACATTCTGACAATGCAGCCATCATGCCAAGAGTGTTAGCGTCTGAAGTATGTACGTCTAATTAAAATCTCCTGCCTATCCAGATGTCAACTATATCACACCCCACTGACAGACTCTTGCATAAATTTACAACCATTAGTGCCAACAAGGGGAGGCATTATCGGTAACATGTACAAATGACTTGTAGCCACGCCATTTATTACACAATAAATAAAGTGGGCAATATGCGTGCACTCATCAGTGTGTCAGCGACCCAACACAAAAACCAGCTCATAAACATCACAGCCAATGACAACAATCTCTTTAAGACAGTTGGCAAACCAAGAAGCCTGTATTTATAGATCCCTAAATGAGTTTGAATGGGGTTGGACAAGGAGATGATATAGGATACCCTCTCTTGGGCCGTATGAATTTAAACAAGGACAAAAGACACCCTTTGAAACTCTGTTTGGCTTGCACAAGAACAGCTCATGCTGATAGACCATAGGCAGGGACTAATAAGATAGCCCATCTATAGCTTTTCCGCAGTGGGATTGAAGTGTTCTCCCACTAACCCTGTTTGCCGAGGGGAGATAGGGCTGGCGATAGGGTCGCTTCACTAGTCTCCTTGTACTCTGGCTATTATACATCACAACCCAGAGAAGCACTTAGAACACCCAACTTGGATTCAGGCGATGGTTTCTGGTTTTCGGAAAAGTGCTTACATGCAATTGTGTGTAATTATTATTTGAATCTTGGTATTGGCCTGATCAGCAGAAATGGCAAGTTTGATTTTGATTGGTTCTTGTTGTGAAAGATTGATGGAATTGACTAGATTGTGTTGGTTTCTATGGTGATGGTCAATCGAGTGGTTATTCTGTTCTAGTCTTGTCTATTTTCTACTAATTATTATTGATGATGATCAGATTGGATTTGAATGTTCTCCAGTGGATGATACATGGCTGTTTATAGAACCCATATAACATGCTAGTTGAAATCTTGACTTTCGTGAAAACCTGCGTCTTGTGTGATGTTATTGTAGATAGCAGTATCCACTTCTATCTTGCTATTTCTTATATGTGTTTTTACATATAATGATGGTTTGTTTATTGTACAACATAGAAATTTAGTATATCTGGAGTGGAATAATTCAAGATGTATTAAAGGAATGTAGATATGTATTAATGATATTATAACTGTGTGGTACAAGATGGTATTGAGTAGTATAAAATATATCAAGTCTGTCTATTATGTATGTATTGTACTCTCTATAAGTCACATATCAAATTCTGTAACTCTTTTTGTACTGTTGTCTGTAAGTTTTTGTGTTTCTGATCTCCATACAGTCCCAAATTACCATCCCACACAAAATTTCCAAAATGTTTT